AACGTAAGGTTGCCATCGCGGCATCGAGTAGGATTGCAGCCACGCTGTTAACTGGAGATCATACCGCGCATTCGACGTTCCGGATTCCCCTCAAACTAACAGAGACGTCGACGTGCAGTCTTTCATGGCAGAGCCAGAAGGTCGAATTGATTCGTAGCGCAAGTTTGATTATTTGGGACGAAGCGCCGATGATGAACTGAGCATGCTTTGAGGCTGTTGACAGGTCGCTTTGAGATATTATGAAGAACGAACCGGAGCCGTTCGGCGGAAAGGTAATGGTGTTCAGCTGTGATCACCGCCAGATTCTACCTGTACTGAAGGATGCTACGCGTAAGGAGACGATTCAAACTTGCTTTAAGTCTTCGCCGCTATGGAAGCATTTGCGTCAAGTGCGGCTAACCGAGAACATGCGTGTCTGCGCCGCCCCAGACGCGGCCAGTGCGGCTGAGCTAGCGGAATTCTCTGGATTTTTTCTCCAAATTGGAGAAGGCCGTTACCCAGTCAACCATGAGATCGGTGATGGCCTCCCACGCGACATGTGTATCATTCCAGAACGACGGGTACAACAAATGGCCTCTGATGAAGAAGACGCCAAAATGGAGCCTCCCCCAAGTTTCAGGTTACTCCCTCCGGCGGACGAGGACCACGAGCGAGACGTGGACGAAGTTGGAGAAGACCAGCGAGTCCGCAACGTCAGCGCACTCATAGATGCGCTGTACCCGGGCGTTGATACTGAGAATTTACCCGATGAATACTTCGTTGAGCGAGCCATACTAGCCCCCACAAATGCAAGTGCTCGGCGTATCAACGACATGGTTGCGGAACGGCTGTCGGGTGAAACGAAGGAGTATCTCTCGGTGGACAGCCTCGAAGGGGTCGCGGATGCAACTCTGATTGAGCAGGAGTTCTTGAACTCTTTTAACTTCTCCGGTATCCCTCCGCACAGGATTGTTCTGAAGGTTGGAACACCTATCATCATGATTAGAAACCGGAAGTAAAAGAGGCCTCCACCCTACAAATCCGCCCGAAACGCCAAGTACATCGAGCAAAAGAAGCAGCAGAAAAGCAAGTAATTGGAATATATGCCCTTTTAGGCCCCCAGTTCTCTACAATTCTCTTTATGTAGTATTCTGGCTGACGGAGCGATGCTTGGAGTATACGGTAAACTGACTATGGCGCTGCCAATAGTGTTGACGCACCTACAGAGATTAGCGCGTTTTCATATAATAATTAGCGCATGGTATCTACTGTGTACCCTTGCAAGCTAGCTGTCCCTATCTGCATACGCGTCACCGCTAATGGCAAGTACGCTCGGTCACTTGGACGCAAGCAAACACAGTACCACAAAAGCCCACAACATTTATTCCACAAATGTGCGCTCAGAAATCGGAAATACAGAATTGAGTGAGCACTACACGCGACGAATACGTTGCTGTCTACATAGGCACGAGCACGGGAAAGGTAGTAGAGACCATACAGTTGGACGTGGCAAGTCAATGTGTCTGTATGCAGTACCGTACTTTAGTGCCCTGTTCAAATTGGTCGAGCTCAGAGCTGGGGATAGTTATACGTGTACCCGTCGCGCGCGTATATATTGCTAGCAGACGCGCGGTCAGCTATCCTGTATCGCTGCGGTATGGCCTGTGCCGAGGTAGTGACGCGCCTGGTCATATAAACTGATACAGCAGACACGTAAGAACAGTAAGCCAGCACGACGACGCTAATGTACCGAGAGAGTGACAGTGGCCCTATACATAGGTTTTAACTCTCACGAGCGCGTGGTATACACACTCATTAACGATATGCACGGACATATCAAATCGCACGCCGAGTTGATAAGTAGGCAGCAAAAGTACTCCATATAATGTACATGAGCTACATTTCAGATTAAGTCTAAACATCACTACAATTTGTTACTCTGCCTACAGCCATGTGGCTTTGTGTGTTCGGCATACATTCAGGAGCCAGTAAATGCCAGTCGGAAAGGGTCTACGCCATTCTGTCGGTCCGTATCTATGCACATACGTCAGTAAGAGCGTCAGCTATGCAAGTAAGATCAATGCATGGGAAATATAGAGGAAAGGCCCTTCAGTAGCATCGTAAAGAGCTCAGCGGAACCATTTCAAGGCATAATATTGATGTTTGTGGCGACCTTCGACAAAAACTACTTGTCCTAAAAGATACTTCGCGCGAGCAGATGACCAAACCTTACTCTAATAGATCGTCGCAATCGATAAGATGGTGTCGACTGCCTCACGGCGATGACGTGCAGATGGTAATATGCTTGAGTAGTCGTATTTACTCCAGCTAGAACGGGTATTCCTCACCACGCTTTGCCAATTTCGCAGCATCATTGATACTGAACCGTCTTCCGCACAGCATATATTACATTTGCTACCACGCGCACCTCTTATTCTTGTCGTTTTAGGCTCCCTTGTTTGCACGAAAGGAAGCGCGAACGCTGGCGGTACTCGTAGTTCGCGGGGAGGAACGCGGCTCGGAGCTGTTCACACAGCTGGGCCCAGGATGTGAAACATCCAGGGGATGTTGCCTCCCGTGTGTACACCCAACTCTTAGCACGGCCGCTAAGGTTGGAGAGTGCAAAAGCAGCACGAAGTTACTCGGTCGAGATCAGAGCCGCGTCCATCTCGAGCTCTACCTCTCGGACCCAGAAGTCAACTTCCTTCCCTTCATACGGCTTAACCTTCAGCCGTATTGGCTTCGGGTGAGGCGGATTTGCTTCCGCCGCCGGGGCCTCCAGGTTCTCCCGCACATGCGCAATGAGCCCCTGCTCGTACGCGTCGAGCGCATTGACGCGCTCGAGCTGCTCAGCCGGTGTTGACACCACCAGGCTCTGCAGGGCCTCCATCCCGAAGATGCCTGCCATCTTCCGAACCTACTCGAACTGAGAGTCGTTCATATGGGAGAAGTCATTCCTATCCATGGCAACGAACTTCGGAGAGGTTCAGGTAGTCTACCCGCGGTGGCGTGGATTGACTACGAGTGCTACCAAGTGTGACGGGGTCACACAGCACCCTGCGCTAGAGGAAGTTATCTTCCGAGAGTATACAAACTCTCAGTGAACGGCAGCTCACAGGTCCCCTCTTTAGTAAAAAAGAGAGCGAAGTGACCAAATTAAGGTAGAATGTAAAACTGAGTATATTTATAGGTAGATAAAGTTTGGGTTTAATACAAACTATAAGTCATCTATAGAAATGCAATGTCGTTGACCAATGGTTGGCTTTGAACGACCTTGGTACCTTGTACCAAATAGCCCGGAGTATGACGTGTCATACTCCTGAAGTGTGAAGTGTCACACTTCATGTAACCAGGGTACACTTAGGACTACGTACCCCGTTACATGTATCAAGACAATATCCGAGTAGATTTAGCTTTATATTAGATGGGTCTTGTATCAAGATCGACTAAATAATTGGGGAAATAAAAAACTATAAATTAGCTAAGTTCGGTGTTAGGTTTACTTTCGTCTTTTGGTTTTCGCTTCCTGGCACGAATGTAATCTCGGTTCTTATCGTTGTAGGCTTTTTGGTGCGCTGAGCGAGTCTCGCGGGTCTTCAGGAAGTAGCGCTACTGAGCGGCTCTGGTACGCTCGTTGTGTAGCTGATACTGTTCAGGCGTGTATGTCATTATGGCTTTATATTTATTAAACCTTATATCAAAATTGACTTTATGTTACTAGCTTTATAATTATCAGGATCAAAACAAATTAAGTTTACTTTATTTTAATACTTGAAATCTGGATTCAATTCTTCCAAGGTCTTCGATCACCAAGAATGTCCGTTGGTGGACTCAGGCATAGATAAAATCCATACTTTGTGTTCTGGGAAGCTGCAGTGGTGGGCAAAGTTGCATCGCTTCATCTTTTACCACAAGGACATTCAACATCTATGTGAAGGCGAGACTTGAATATTTTACTCAATATCGCCTCAGCTTTATCAACATCCGATACAGCTTCAGGGAACTTTGAAATTTGGATGTGTACAGCATCGATCTTTAGTTTTGCTTTATTACACTTTTCCCATTTCTCAGAATGTAGTTGAACATCGTATTTTATTAAATATATACTTATTAGTTTATGTATCAGAACCAACTTACTTTGTATCCACCTATCATTTGTCATCATCTAGTCTTTTTGAATCTATTTGGGGAACGCTCTCAGGTGGTCGAGCGGTTGTCTCGTTAAAATTGCTCCTTGAGCTTTTATTGTTAAATTTAATAATGAAGAGAGGGGGCGTTGTAAGCTGCCGGAATTTACTACTGCTGTGCTAATAAACATCGTTACTTGAGCCATAAAGATAGATAGTTTTAGATTTAAAAAAATAGCTCAGATATGTCACTGCTGTAAACCATTGTTTTCTAAGAGTTCCGACACTACTTAACGGGCGGACGTGTCGCCGACAAGAGCGTAGGATACGATTTAATTGGAGCGGTAACGCAACAACACAATACGAGAGGTTAAAATATAGTTGGTTAAATATACCCCATAAAGAAACGCTAATAAACTTTAAGCGTTAATGACATCTTGGAATCATCGTTACACTATCAAATAAAAAAACACCGCAGACGACAACAACAACAACAAGGCGTCTTGCGACGCATTATCCAGATGCTTTAATCATAATTGGCACAGGTTAGAGTTCAGGTATCTATTCTCATTAGACGAAGAAATCCATATAAATTATATTTTGAGGAACCCTGATGCTGACCCAGGTTATTGAAATTAAAAATATCGAGACGCATAGGGACATGGCGTTTTTATATGTCAAAACATGAACTAAACCTAAACTACCGTCGCGTAGCGGCGGCGCTCGGCGAGTACCAATGTAAAGTTGCAGGTGTGAGAGAGGATCGTGACCATCCTTGTACTGTAGTATATGTGTGAGTTACAAGCATCATCACATTTCGTCATAAAACGATTGCTCTCTATTACGATACTTTTGTTGTGCGATCATTTCAAAAATCAGACCTCCACTCCAACATTAAATTCCAGAGAGCTTTGAATTCACATCATAGAAGACGGAATAGATCATGTTCACGAGTTCCATCTAGCCTAGTTGATGAGCAACGTCTCGTCATCGTCGTAGCCGAAGTCCTTCTTATACTCCGAAAAGAGTCGCTGGATCTCCGCAACGTACTGCGTGTGCACAGCGCGAATCTCTTCCTCGGAGGGATTAGCTGTCAGCTTGGTAGGAATAGGCTTGCCGTACACGACGCCAAATCGCTTGCCCTTGGGCGGCTGCTTGGGCATCCACATGAACTTTCCCCAGAAGACGATCATGGGGATCCTGAGCGTTTTGCGGAAAAAGTCGATCACACCCTGAGGAGGGTTCCACATGCTGCGAGAAACATCATAAACGCAGGTAAGTAACTGAACAGCAAAGTCAAAATGCATTGCCAACCGGTATTAATACTCACTTGTAGAGCCACTTCTCTCCGAACACGAAGCTTGGAACCAATTCCGCGCCGTGGCGCATAGCCAACTTGACGAAACCGAGACGTTTCTTCAACACAAGTTCGTTCACCTTGGAGTTGGGGTCCGTCTTGAAGATTTCCGGGACACCGCCAGGGTACACGACAATGCTAGTGCCGTCGTTCAGAACCTTGTCGGCCGTGGAGCGGGAGGCGTCGACGCCGCCAAGCCACAGACAGAGTTCACGGCCCAGTGGGACGTAGAACATCGTCGAGGCGCCCAATGCTGTTGAAGAATACCAACAACACCCACAGAGTTAGTACCTACGAGTAAATCAACTTTAGCAGCAGGTGCTGTACCTCGTGTCGGGATGCCTGGGAAGACCTTTTCCCAGTTGCCGCCATAGGTGGAGACACGTGACAGCACAATGATGCCGTGAGGGTGGAATCCGAAGATGTACTTTTTGTTGCTGTCCAGCTCATGACTTTGATTCCAGAAACTTAGCGCTGAGGCCCCATATGTGACTGGAGCGGAAGGCTGGCCAGGGGTTTCCTTCTGCCGTCTTCTGGGCACCACTAAGGAAGGACGGTAGATTACCACTAGAGAGCGACACTGGCACGTAACCGTAACCAAAACTGTAGAGATAGTAGAAAAGCACGACGAAGGGCACGCCCCAGACGTTGTAGTGGATGGTTACGAAGCTAAAGAGGTCCGTCGCGAGGTTCTGAGCCCACTGCGGCACGCGTGAATCTTCGGAGAAGAATCCAGGCGTCTCGTACGCGAGCGGGGCGCCCCCCCTCTGGGTCGTGGATGGTGAAGTGACCCCGTTATCTTGCTCCATGGCCTTGAACTGGTTGCGGTGAATAGCGTATGACTGCCAGCACAAATCGGAGTGTGTCATAAGACCTTCAGTTTGTGTGAGGTTTACGTTTAGTCAACAGAAGGTATCTATAATACACACCTGTATACAGTATAAGGTACATTGCCGGATGGTTTTTGTTTCAAAATAGTTTAGGCCGAGTGCGCGGTGGCGCTTAAAAACATTTAGATTGGGAATTATAAACTAAGGTTTAAGCGGAAGTATTTTGTAAATCGAGCCGCCGCCTCGCTACGCATCGCTATAAAACAATGCGTATTTTATACTACGTAGCTGTTGCTGCAAGATCCATCGTACTTAAGCGAAATTTGGTCCTTTGTTGTTATGTCAGTTCTACTTAAGACAATTTATGTTCGAAAAGATGTCGTAAATGTTGATTTGATTGTACTACCGGTCTATTAATAGACAAAACCCGCAGGTGATTTTAAGGCATCTTCGCTGGAGATGGAGATTGTGACGGGGTCACACAGCACCTTGCGCTGGAGGAAGCTGGCTTCCGAGAGTATACAAACTCTCAGTGAACGGCAGCTCACAGGTCCCCTTTTACCGAAAGGGAGCGAAGTGACCAATTTAATGTAGATTGTAAACGGAGTATATTTATAGGTAGATAAAGCTTGAGTTAAATACAAACTATAAGTCACCTATAGAAAAGCAATGCCATCAGCCAATGGTTGGCCTTGGTACCTTGTACCAAATATCCCGAAGTATGACGTGTCACAGCTCATGTAACCAGGGTACGTACCCCGTTACATCCTCCCCCACTTAGGTTCGGTTTACCGACCAATCAGAATAAAGAAGTGCACGTCACAAACTTTCATTCTCAAAGTCGAAAACCATCGACTTGGCCGCGCGAGCGTGGCGGAGGCTCACTTTACAATTAGAGCCTCGAGCAGCAGTCTGTGCGCTCCTCTTCTTGGTCCCCACATCGACCGTTAATATGCCCCGAGGTACTGCGAAGAGCGGTGCGAAGACACGCTCCAAGGCTGCTGCCGGAAAGGCGCAAGTCAAGAGCACTAAGCCTCACGGCAAATGCTCGGCACTCCAGGAGGCTACTTAGGTGGCCTCCGAGGTGATCGGCTCAGCGGGTGACGCGGCTGTGGGCAAGCGAGCAAGCAAGCGCCGCAGTCCTTCGCCCTCGGCCTCAGACAATCGTCCGAACCCTCGGTTCGTGGAACGTGAGTTCAACTCTGGCAGTGAGGACGAAGCCGAAGAGCGGCACTGGCGTTAAAGTGTGATCCGATCAACGCAAGTGATCTGTCTCTAGTGAAGTCCTTGGTGGCCAGAGGCCGAGTGTTACCGTCATTCTTGAGCAATACAATGCTCTGACGAGCAGCTTCCAGTGCGAGTTGCCGATGTGTTGTTGTGTCTACTGAGTCTTTCGTGATGTTTGCAAAAGGCTGCGCCTATTCAACATCCCGAGTCTCATCAGCACACGAAACTGATTCTTCAGGGCATTGTGAAATCATCTCGGTAGTAACGATGCCTTGCTCAGAGCCTTAGGAAGATGTTGCCTCAGAAACTCGCCGCAGTTTAGATCCATACCAGCGTCAAGTGTTGTTGCACACGTTTGTTCAGATGATGGGGTGTAGTGATGGTGGTGGATCACGTCAGCTACAGCCTCGCAATCCGAAGCGATGTATCCGTCAAACTTCCACTGACCACGCACCAGGTCAGTAAGCAGGCCTTTGTCAGCACAAGACGGTATACCATTTACAGCATTGTAGCTGCACATGATGGAGCTCACATGGCCTCGCTTCACACAGTCTTCGAATGCCGGAAAGTAGGTGTCAGCTTGATCTTGCTTGGTGACCATCGCGTTGTTGCGGTGTCTCGGCACCTCCTGCGAGTACGCTGAAAAGTGTTTACAGCAGCTTGATATCTTCAAGAACTTGGTGTTCTCGACTTCTCTTCCTTCCATTCCTTCGCCTTGTAGGCCTCTCACAAAGGCCACTGCGTACTCCCCTGTGAGGTACGGGTCTTCTCCTGGTGTCTCTTGTCCGCGCCCCCATCTCGGGTCACGGAAGATGTTGACATTAGGTGTCCAGAACGTCAGTCCCGCATCCTTCGCATTGTTAAACGCTCGAGCTTCAGTGGAGATTACATCGGCGATCTGGTAGAACAACGAGCGGTTAAACGACGCCGCGGTGCTCAGCACCTGTGGGAAACTGGTGGCTGCAGTGATGGGTCCCTTGAACGTCACTCCAGGTGCTAGCGCCACACCGTGCACCAAGAGCCCAACTGCCTGATCCAGCGGTATTCGAGTTCCTAAATCGTCCACACGAGTGTTTAGAGGCAGCAACGAATCGCAGAACGGCAGTGAAGCGACCTTGGTGTCGTCGCACACATTGTAAGAAGCTGCGCAACCCCCGAGAAACAACGGAAGCCAGCTTAGATGCCACATCTTGGAGGTAGTTTGATGAATGAGTGAACGAGTGATGGCTTTTGACTGAAGTTGTCTTTTGACTTATACACCCTATATAAGAGCATTCGGATAATTTGACGCTGTTTTCTTAGAGGAAGATTTTCCTTTTTGCCTTTGGACTCAATTCCGCATCCGAGGTGACAGCGGCGATCGATGAGTGCGCGGCGCGGATCTCGACTATCGCAAGCCCACACCGATCTACCAAGTGGAAGACACACGCGACAGTAGTGACGATATGGATGTCGAAGCAGAGGAGCAGGACGTTCTTGTAGCCAACGAACTATGTGAAGAAAGAAGGTAAAACATCAACGCTCACAAGAGTGATGGTCGTTGGCGCATTCGACTTTCTTTTTGTATGTGCAAGTGCAACTTCTGACATGATGTGGGCTAAATAGTGGTGACGACGGACGAGAAGGCGACGATGAGGAGTTCACGCCTGGTGGTACGAAGGTGAAGACGCCCAAAAAAAGCGCAAGCAAAGCGGCACGGACGCCCACCGCCAATGTGAGATCCGGTAGACGCAAGCGTTCACCATGGAGCCAAACGAGGAGCTTGCAGTCAAATGGAAAGGGCAGAAAGAGCAAGAGAAATGGAGCCACCAAGATGGACGAAACCCCGGAAGCTGGGATTGACAATGAGCAAGAGCATGGCGTTTCCTCGCTGTTCGGTGAGCGGGCATGCTCAGCTAAGGGTCTTTAGAGGCGAAGTTATGATCTATCTTACCGTTTTTGGTGTGATTTGGTAAATGTAGACGCGATCAAGAATGGCAAGGTGTCGTTGGAGAACTTGCTGAGCGAGTGGCGCGATCGATTTGAGGAGGACGACGAAAATGCCTCGAGAGAAGTGCTGAACCTGGTTTTGCAGGTAGACATGAAGACTAATTGTGATCTTGTGATATTTATTTTTTCTGATGTGAGTTAATGATCGCTAGGCTTGTGGAGGGACAGGTCAGTGCGTCCCTGAATCAGAGCCGTTGGCACAGCTGAATATGGCCGATTTGGTAAATCACGTGGAGAAGGGTCTTGAGAAGGCGAACGGAGAGTATCCTCTGATGTCTCGTGGAAAAGGCAAGAAAAAGTTCCAGCGCAATTTCGACGAGTTCTGGGAGTTTTTTGTGAAGGAATGCTACGAGAGCGAGATCTTGTTCACATCGGAGATTGCGAACAACTTTATTGACTGGCTATCGACTTTATCAAGGTTTGGAAGGTGCTGCTATTCGAGTGATTGGTGTGCTTTACTTACTTTAGTTTTGTAGAAGTATGCAGTTCCGAGCTTTGACCAATTCGACATACGACGACAGTTGCTGTACTGGCATTGAGAAATTCCTTAGTACGTACGGCGGCAAGTATTTCTGAGCAACTGGCAATTGCTACGAGGCAACTTAACGCCGAGATGAATTCGCCTGCTTCAACACTTGTGCTGGGAAGAGGCCGGAACCTCGAGAAGAGTGGGCACTCCTGAAAGAAACAAACAGAAGCGGTTAGCGAGAACCGGCTACAGCAGGTGTTGAAAGCTCTTTTATTTGTTTATTTCTGCAGGAGTTGTGGTGCATCGATATCGCGACGTTATGCCGGAGATTCGCGTGGCGACCATGCAGTGTCTCGGCCATTGGATCACTACTCTTCCTGATCAGTTCTTCAAGGACAGTTTTCTGAAGTATCTTGGTTGGCTCCTGAGTGACAGATCGGCTGCTGTTCGTTTTGAGGTGGTCGAAATTTTGTGCGAGCTGTATGAGAACGACGCATTTACAGAAAAGTTGGAGCTGTTCACAGCTAAATTTCTGTCGCGCTATCTGGAGCTGTGCAGCGACGTGGATGATGGTGTTTTTGAGGAGGCCATTCATCTTTTAATCGCTGTTGACAAGCACAGTCTTATCAGCTCTGATATTGAGCTTCAGCCCGTAGAAAAATTGGTGTTTGATGCGGAGCATGAAGACATTCGCAAAGCCGCCGCGGAGTTTGTGTGTATTCAATACGACGCATTTGGTGTAGCTGTCTCGAAGACAAAGAATGCAACATTGAAGAAAGAACAGCTTAACACTCAAGCTATTGCTCTCGTGGAGTTTGCAGAGGAATATATACAGAATTATGGCGTACCAGAGGATGCGGTGGAGACTCTCGTGGATGCCTTTTGGGGGCTGGAAGATTGCCGTACGCTAATTCACACTTTATTCTTTTTAAACTTTACTTGGCAACTAACAGTTTTGATAGCAGTTGTGCTTCAGGAATGGCGGGTGATGACAGATTTGCTCCTAGTGGATAAGACTGCGCCAGATCTCAGTAGTGAACAACAGACAATCCTTCTGCGTCTGCTTGTTGCTTTCGTGAGAAAGCTTGTCGATGTTAGCGCCAATCGATCAGCAAGTGCTGCTGCTAAAAGAGAATCAGAGCAACTACAGGTGCGTCTTTACTTAACGAACTCGTAGCAACATGTATCGCACTGACAATATTTATCTGCTACGACGATTTCAGGAAGAAAAATTACCGTGGCATACTGCAAGGACATCCCCAGTTTGTTTCTTTTGTATCAAGCCGACTCGGATAAGTTGGCGTTGCTTTTGGAATTGATTCCCATGCTGACCCTGAGGAGTGAGGTGATTGGCCACCATAGCAGCCAAATGAAAGAGCTTCTGGAAAAGCTGAAACACGCGTACCTGCTGCACTCCAACGAAGAGTTGCTAACGAGTCTATCGCTCTCCATCACCCACTTGCTTAAAACGGAGCATGCATCACTAAAACGGGAAGCAGAAGCTCTCATGCAAGAGCTGGTTCAGGAGATTATGGACATAACAGATCGCCTTTTGGAGGCTGATATCAAGCTGTTCGATGACTCCGCCATTGCTTCTGATGATACCCCTAAAGCGAGAAGCAAAAAGGCGAAAGGGAGAAAGAAGAAGGGCGCCAAAACCAAGGAAAGTTCAGATGTCGAGTATGGTCTGCGGATCTCTCTTTGTCGAATTAAATGCCTGGCAAAATACCTCAATATCCGAGAGTATCTTGCTTATGATCTGTCGCTGTCGATGGTGAACAGGGATGATCAAATAACAGCACCGGATTTGCACCAGGGGCGGATGGACAAACTTGTTGTGGCTGTGGGAGATTTATTGCATCGACGTAAGTAATCTGCCTCCGAGCTTGACGAAGGTTTTCGGAATGTCGACACCATTAAGCACAGTCTGGCCACTATTTACTTCGATCTACTATGGACCACGGCTCCGATTTTCAAAAGCATCGAAGAATACGCAAAGCAAAATATTTCTTCGAATGCTGCCAGTGAATACACCGAGGCTGTTGATCCGGCCGTCCAGAGTCAGATTCAGAAGGTGTGTCAATCTCGGTCCACGCTCGAAGAAGCGCTGAGTTCTGTGTTGGAGATGCATTTGGCTAGGACAAAAGAAGTAATGGATGAAGAGCACAAGGACAGCGAAGATATGCAAGACATACAGTCGGTGGAGTCCATGGAAGAGATTGTGTTCGAAGACGAGGACGTCGTATCGTATGTGAAAGAGGCGCAACGCTTTGCGTTCTTAACGTTTTGCGATATTCGGTGTTTGTTCGTGGAGAAATTTCAGGATGCCACCCCACCATACGATGCGTTGGAATGGACATTACCGAATGTACTTCGTCATCTCACACAAATGCACTTTGAAAGTGAGATGGACGATGCCGAGGACGAGGAGCCAGAATTTGAAGACGATGTGGTGAAGAATGACCCTGAGGTTGCAAAGGAGAAAGCCAATGCCTTTCGTGAATGGCAAGAAAAACAGCAGCGGAGAGCTGAGCTGCTGGTCGCGCTGGGTCGAGTGGCGTTGTGTAATCCGAATAAGAAGTACCAAGCTGCGGCAGTACTGCAGTGTTTCACATCGAGTGGCAAGTCAAGTGTTGAGGTGGTAAAGGCATTTGGCAAACAAGTGAAGACGGATGCCCCTGTACGCTACTTGGAAATCCAAATGGCTGCACTTCGTCAACTGTACAGCTCCATTCTAATCGGCAAGCAAGACATTGAGGCTGCTCAAACAAGCGAAGAGAAAAATGACGACGACATTGCAGAGCAAGAAGCGGTGAAAGAGAAGGTGGAAAGCAGCGAGTTGGAGCTGAAGGAGTTGGCAAAAAGGTTCAGCCAGTTTCTCGGAGTAGACAAAGTCCCCTTATCTTTGAGAGCGCCATTTTTGCGCTTTTTGCGTGAAGGTGTCCGCTATGCTCTTGAGCAACCGGCCCAGTTTGAGTTTTTGGAGGCTATGCGTGTATACGTGTCACGTCTAGACAACACGAGCATGGCACAACTACGCGAATATTTCATGGAACGACGTAAAACACTACACGATGTTCCCGGTGATAGTGAAGATCTGGACTCGCGATGGCGAGCATTGTTCGATTTCCAGACAGCAATTACGTCTACTGTCGCAGCAGGCAAGATGAATTCGACTGGTGCGATGCTCTCGCCTCCGCTGAGAAATAAACGACGATTTGCTAGCTCTGAGCCTACTCCAATGCAAGGAACATCTATCGCAGAAGAGGACGAAGGTGAGAACGTAGAACGCGAGGATAATGCAGGTGAGAAGACGGAAAGCGCTGCTGGTGATCAAACTGAAGCGAACAAGGCTGGACACGAAGAGCAGATTGATCATAATAATCGACACACGTCATCAGGACACAAACGCTTTGCTGTGGCTGATGAAGGTTTTGACGTGGCAGAGTCGTTGCTTCCTCGCAAGCGGATGCGGCGTTCAGGTAATGCTAACGAGGCGGAAGCGAGTGGTGACGAGGCGAACGACCTCGATCATCAACTTCAGAGTGAGTCGAAGAGCGAGGAAGAAGAGCCACCTCAAAGTGATTACGAAGTGCAGCCCGCGGCTGGAGACAAGGAAGATGACAAGAGAACGCATCGAAATCGACGTCGTGCATGAATCCGCGAGTTAAGTTGCACCTAGTTATTTTAACGCGATGAGTAGTGTATTTCTGGAGAACTGGCTAACGAGTTATGTGGCTTGGACGTAACGCGAGGAGAAGTGCATTTCTGGTGTCCTTACTGCCTAACGAGTTATGTAGCTTGGGACAATACCCCAATGAGCAACAAGATTCATCAGAGGTGCAGTATATGACCACTGTTGTCAAGTAGTTCGAGTGGAAGCTTAAGGAGGCTGGTGTGACGTGTACCTTCGAGTCGTATTGCCCCCAGATCTGGTAAAACATCCTCAACTCAGCTGCTGCGACCGTCGCAGTACAATGGCGCTGAGGTTGAAATCAACGCCATGAAGCCCGAAACGGAGCGCTTGATTAAAGAGAGCAGCGCACTCAAGGCAGCTATGACGAAGACGGTAGCAATAACTCGAAATTCCACTCACCGGCGCAGTCTCCTCAGACGAAGCGAAGGAGCGTTACGCCTTCGACAACACCAAAGAGATCACTACTATTTTATTAATACACCGTTCACTCTAGTTAGGGGAATTCTTTCGAGAGCCGTGTACGTCAATGGCAAGCAGTACGACACGAAGGAGAAGCTCGTGACGGCTATTAAGAAAGCCTGGGATGAAATCCCTCTGTTGAAGTTAAAAAGTCTTGTAGCATCGATGAAAAAAACGCTGCATGGAGGTGTACAAACTGGAAGGGCATAAGACGAAGTACTAAGCTGCCTAGTCAAAGTCGTCACGGTGTCTACTGTAGAAAACATAAAAACAGAAGATAAGTGCTGATACATTTTGTTCGTCTATCATTTTCGCGCAGGGGGTTCCAACACAACAGCAGATTTTGAAGTGTTTCTCAGCCGTTACTTTGCGGATTACAACAAACAGTACCTTAAAAGAACCGTAATGGTGATCTCCTGATTGGATATAAAGCCCAAATTTATTGCTTTTGATTTGACAAAAATCGGCTCGAAATCGAGTTTTCGTCTATCATTTCCGCGCGCACTGTAAAGTCATCTCTCCGCTTCTAACCTTGTAGCATGTCTGTCCGCGAGCTGCGCAGATACTTGATTATTGACATTTAGCTACGCAAAACCTGTCGTATGTACTGCAAATCGAGCACAGTAACCATTTATTTTCTAAGAGCCCTGCACACTTCTCAAATAGAAATATTTATTATTATTAATGTAGACTTCACAGACCAGTATTTTGTAAGAGCTCTGCGATGTTTTTTTCCCACACACTTTTCGAAGTAAAGACGATATTAATAGTATTCTTAGAATAAGCTTCACAGGCCGCATTTGTAAGAGCTCGGCGATGCTATTTTCCACACACTTTTCAAAGTAGAGACGATAGTATTTTTTAATATTAAAGTAGGCTTCACGACCAGCGCTTTTTGTAGGACTTTGCGAATATATATCTTACTTACTTCACTTGGCACTCACCACTGCCACCGTGCAATGAAGGGTCGCGGCTGCACGCTCATTGCGCTATCTGCTCCCGTGCACCCCACCCGACGAATGCATGCGCGCACGATTTGTTTTTGTCATTTTATATTGCATGTAATGTATGTATTTGTTTGGAAAATTTGATATTATTATTAATATAGCAAATAAATAGTAATATTATAAAACATGTTAATATTTTGCCCTAATAATAAATACCAGCCTTATATTACCGTGCTATTGGCTAATATTTGGACGCAAGTATTGGTTGAAACAATATAATTTTTGTATAAGCTGCTAACTTACTCACAGTTGTGGGCCCTACGTGCAAGCAATGCGAGGCGAAGATTGACCCGCTTCTGCTGAACCCGCAGCGGTCTACGACGGATACTCGGCGCGCTGCGTCTGCTGCGAGAAGCTGCAGTACGGCTACGCATTCCGTACAATCAGCGGACGGGGCAGCGTGCGGCACTGTATTGCCTGCAAGAACGGCCCAAAAGCGGTTAAGTTCTGGGAGGAAAAGCCTCCACCACCTAAATCGGCCGAAGTGCGCCGCCAGGAAAGCCTGCCAAACGTCGAGAAGGTGATGGGTCCTGACTGGTACCCCAAGAAGAAAAAGAGGCGCAGCCGCCCTCGCAAGTTGACTGCCCGAAACGCCAAGTACAACGAGCATAAGAAGCAGCAGAAGAGCAAGTAATTGGTAAATATACACTTTTAGGCCCCCATTTTCCTACCTATATTTGTATTTAGTATACTGGTTGACGGTGCGAGGCTTGGGGCCGCACAAACGGTAAACTGACTATGGCGCTGCCAATAGTGTTGACGCACCTACAGAGGGTAGCGCGTTTCAAAATATTAATTAGCGCCTGGTATCTACTGTGTACCCTTGCAAGGTTGCCCGTCCCTATCTGCTTCCGGCGTAACCATTAGATCGAGGAGACCACTCGCTCACTTTGGGATACCATGGGAAACCCATGCTATCTGGTGACATCAGGCGCTTCAAAGGCGTATGGTTCCAATTAAATGTGCCGCTCACAAATTTGAAACCTACCCCCATCCAAGTGATGCACTACCCGTCGAAGAATTAAGGTTGCT